TTTTCCTCCACCGTTTAGGACCCCGTTTCTGACACTGGTTAGACCCAGTGTCAATGCCCCCCACCCATTCCAGCCCTTCCATTCAACTCAGCTCAGGTTCCCTAATCACTTAATCACTTAACTTCCCGTTAGTCGTCGATTTGCTCGAGCGGGCGCCAGTAACGTCTCCATTTGTCCCTGTCGCGTGCTAGTGTAGCCCAATGGCATCTCTTCGCTCCGGGAACATGGAGGGCCTCAAACCGATCGTTCATGACCTTGACAAAGAAGTCTGACCATCTGGTAGGTGGGCGGCCACGCGGTCTCTTGACATCCCGTGGAATCCAATCAGTAACAGCTCTAGTCCAACGGTCGTCTTTAAATCTCATTACGTGACCAGCCCATCTGATTTTCGACACCTTGGCAAATGAGACAGCGTCCCTGATCCTTGATCGTCGACGGATGTCAGAACTCCGGATTCGTTCTCTCATTTGAGTGAAACGTGATATTCCAAGCATAGCTCTTTCTATTCTTCTTTGGGAGACCTGAATGGCGTTCTCATCTTGTTTGCGTAGGGCCCAGGTCTCTGAGGCATATGTTAATGCAGGAAGAACAGTGGAATCAAAGAGATGTGCCCGGAGCCGGAGGTTCTTCGTCCTCTTAGCTATTTCTTCGACGTTCTTGAAGGCGTTCCAAGCCGCTCTCTTCCTCCTGCGCAGCTCGGGTGCCAGGTCATTTGTCATGTTGACCTCTCGACCTAGGTACACATAGCTGTTGCATTCGGAGATGGTCGTTCCATTGAGAGCGAATGGGGCATCAGGAACAAGGCTATTTCTCATAAACATTGTCTTCGTAAGATTCAGCTGTAGTCCTACCTTTCCACACTCACGGTCAAAGTCGGCCAGCATTTGTGCCGCTTGGCTGATGTTTGGTGTTATTAAAACAATGTCATCAGCAAAGCGGAGGTGGTGTAGTTGCCGACCATCTATCTTCACTCCCATTCCTTCCCATTCCAGTCGTCGCATGATGTTCTCGAGGGTGGCACTGAAGAGTTTTGGTGAAATGGTATCACCCTGCCGCACCCCTCTCTTGACATCAACGATCACTTCTTTGTAGAATGGTGAGATCCTGGTAGTGAATCCGCAATACAGCTCACGGAGGATCCTGATGTATTGGGCTTGTATGCCCTGATTGGCTAGGGCTTCAATGACCGCTTCCGTCTCAACAGAATCAAAGGCCTTCTTTAAATCAATGAACGTTAAGCAGAGCGGCATCTTGAACTCCCGAGAAACCTCAATGAGTTTGGTTATCGTGTGGATATGGTCGATGGTGCTGAATCCTTTGCGGAACCCTGCTTGCTCACATGGTTGTCCTTCATCTAGTGTTCTGCCAATCCTATTCAGGATGACTCGAGTGAACAACTTGTAGATGACAGACAATAGGCAGATCGGGCGATAGTTGCCAATGTCATGGATGTCTCCCTAATAAAACCCCCCAAAGCAGGGTCCTTCTCTCCTGATTGCTGTGGCTCTAGCTTGGTGGAGACACACGGTCCCCACAAGTCTTGCGTGTGTGTGTGTGTGTGTGTGTGTGTGTGTGATGTGTATGTTTCTGTTACTTGTGCAAACTATCTATGCCTACACTTCTTGTATACAAAGACATTTCTTCGCATATTCTAATGTCCCCCCAGGGTTTTCTTTTTAAATTTTTGAAAAAGTGAATCACAGTGAGATAGTTAAAAAGCTATTCATGATTGGGTTTCGGTCATACAATGTTCCAACACCCATCCCTCCACCAGTTCACGTTTCCCAGCACCAGTGTCTCCAGTTTCCCTGTTGCTAACCTCTCCACCCCCGACCCCCAACCTGCTTCTATGACAACACCTCTCTCTCTTTCTCTCTCTCTCTCTTGCTCTCCCTCTCTCACTCTCCCTCTCTCTTTCCTTTTGGGCATTACAATTTACAGTGCACATACTGAAAGGTTATCATGTTTATTCCTTTACCTACTTTCAGCACACTTTTCTTATCCAGAGTGATCACTTACGAAATCATAGTGTCATGGTGGTCTCTTCTGTGTCCTAACTGCCCCCCACCCCGCTTGTGGCAAGCTTCCAACTGTGGACCATTCCTCCTGGCCCACGTTTTCGCTGTCCTTGGGTGTTAGTCTCATACTATTTTTTTAATATCCCACAGATGAGTGCAAGCATTCTATGTCTGCCCTTCTCCTTCTGACTCATTTCACTCAGCATGAGACTCTCCATGTCCATCCATTTACTAGTGAATTCCATGACTGCATTTTTCCTGGTGGCTGCGTAGCATTCCACTGTGTAGCTAAGAACTATAGTTTCTTTATCCAGTCGCCTGTTCTCAGGCACTTGAGCTGTTTCCAGATTCTGGCTATCGTGAACTGTGCTGCACTGAACATAGGACTGCGGATGGCTTTTCTGCGGTGTGCTTATGGGCCCCCAGAAGTGATATTGCTGGGGTGTGTGGAAGCCCAACTTCTAGTTGGGTTCTCATGTGAGAGCAGAGAGCAGATAGGGGCCCCATGCGGTACACAGCGGAATGGAGCCTGTTTCTCACTTGAGCTTGCCCTGAGAGATGAGAGGGAAGTTCAGTAGCTCCAGACAGACACATGTAAGAAGGAACATACAGTTCAGGAGGAAGGCCCGGAGAGTGCAGAGTCCTGGCTCTGTCCTCCCGATGTTAAGCAGAACTAGGGGAGGGGAAGGAGGTCCCGAGAGGAAGGTCTGGTATGGAGGGGCGGAGGGAGGTGGTTTTCGCAATGGGCCACACCATGGATATGGAGCATTGAAATACCAGGGTTTTGTTTCCCACATTGTTTTGTATTTGATAATTACTTTGAAATGCCGGGGAAAGCAGATTTTTGTTTTTTTAAAAAAAATATTTGTTTTTTTTTTTTGTTTTTTCTTTTTGTTTGATTGAATCACCATGAGATGCACAGTTACAAAATTGTTCATCGTTGGGTTTCAGTCATAAGATGTTCCAACACCCATCTCTTCACCAGTACACATTTCCCACCACCAATAACCCCAATTTCTCTCCCACCCCCACCCCCACCCCATCCACAGCCTGCCATATGGCAGGCACTTCTCTCTCTCTCTCTCTCTCTCTCTCGCTCTCTCTCCCTTCCTCTTTTCCTCCCTCCCCCCTCATTGGGGCTCTAGGGTTTGCAGTACAGGTACTGAGAGGTTATCGTGTTTGTTCCTTTACCTGCCTTCTGCACTGATCTGAGCAATGACCACTATGACAAAAATATTTGGAAATGGTGACCCTGGGCAAGAACTAAGTGCAGGACAGAAGTTTTTTAATATTTGAATTGTTAAAATATTAGCGACTGATATCAATATTTCATGTGAGCCTTCGAAGAGAATGGACTTTCAGAGCAGTTTTATCTTTTTCTAAAGTTGGGTGTGAGGGCATGAGGAGGGAGGTCAGAGGCTGGACTGCTTTCCTGGCACACCTGAGGCACTGACTTCCACGCCCAGCACCCCACAGGCCCAGGACTCCCTGGCCCGTGTCCCTGGCCTGAGCTGCTCTGAGTAGTGATGCGTCCAGCCCAGATTGCCGACTCTCACCATGAACCTCACCGTGGGCTCTGCTAGGAGCCCCCCAAAAATAAGGGGTTGCGAAGTGAAAATTAGTTTTAGTGTATAAATACATATAATGATGAAGACTAGCCTGATCTAATAAACTCAGTGACTTTTCTTGCTGTGAGAACATCCTTGGGGCTGATCTCACACTAACATGTCCTGTTTGTCTCCCTTTCTGCCATTATTAGCTCACATGGTTCTCTTGCTAGTTAAAACCCACGTTGTTTTGGGACACATATTTTCCCTCCAAGGGAATCTAAGAGTTTTAGAATGTGCATATTCTAATTTACTAATCATCTTTTAACCTTAACTGTAGCACTGTAACACTGTCCTCCCGTTGTGCATTGATTTGCTCTGGTGGGCCCAGTAACGTCTCCATTGTGAGACTTGTTGTTACTGTGTTTGGCATATCGAATACGTCACGGGGAGCTTGCCCGGCTTTTCCGTGCAGGCAAGATACTCTCGGTAGCTTGCCGGGCTCTCCGAGAGGGATGGAGGAATCGAACCCAGCTTGGCCTGCCAGCTGCATGCAAGGCAAATGCCCTACATCTGTGCTATTGCTCCAGCCCAAACTTAAATTAAATTTTGGTGTGATCAAATTAAAATTTGGTGTGAGTTGGGATTAGCACAATAAACACTTGTGAAAAGATCTTTGCTCGATACTTGTTTTCATGCTAAATCCTGATTTTCTACTTGCCAAGGAAGTATGATAGACCACATAACACACTGACTCAGGTGCAATAGTGATTTTCTTGTGACTTGGGGAGGTTCAGATTCTATACCTGTTATGGTTAAGTTAAGGGAACAATTATTTAAAGCCTTATATTGCCTGGTACTGTGAGAATATCAATGTAAAATACATATAGTATTTCTGCCTTCATGGACATGACAATCTGCAAAGAAGGCAGCAGCTGTGGTACAAATGGGAAGACTTGCATGTGGCTGACCAGGGTTCAATCCCAGCACCCCATCTGGTCCCCCAAACCCTGCCAGGAGTGACCCCTGAGTGCAGAGCCAGTAGTAAGCCCTGAGCATCACCGGATGCACCTCCCAAACATAAAAGACTCTAAAGAGTGGAAAAGCAGAGTAATAGTATGTTGTAATAATGTATCCCCAGAAGTGGGGTGGTTTGCTGACTATGATGGGGATAAAGGTTGCTGAGGGCCTCTACAGAGAGGATCTCTCTGAGCTCAGCTGGTTGAAAAGCTGGTTGGTAGGTCTGGGCTCCTGGGAGACGGGGTTAGGAGAGCAGGGTCCTGTGCAGCTGATGGACATGCTGACACAGTTTCCAGGATCCCACACGGACCTGCGGGAGCATGGCCAACCCTGTGGGCTTGCTGGCCATGTCCTGAAGAACAGGGGCCTTTCCTGCCCTAGACGACTGGGCAAATGTCGCTCTCTGTCTACACAGGAGCCCGGTGCTGGTGTTCCAGTGCAATGACCGCCATGTGATCTGCCTGGACTGTTTCCACCTCTACTGCGTGACGAGACTCAACGACCGGCAGTTTGTCCATGACCCACAGCTGGGGTACTCGCTGCCGTGTGTGGGTAAGTCGAGCGTGGTTTCTCCCTTGCATTTCTACTGCTGGTTAAGAGCAAAAGAGAAAATGTTGATATCAAACTGTCTGAGCCGTGCCCCTCCCTAACTGAAGAGCGGGAAGTCAGGTGTGTGTCTCGTCGTTTGTGTTTGGATCAGACATGAAAGAGCCGTAGGGAGGGATGCGGGTTCCAGGCAGAATGGATGGCTAGATTCATTGGTGATATGTTTTGGAATATTATTCAGCCAACGCACACCAAGCATGTCATGGATTCTCCCTGCATGACATACATTTATTACTCTGGAACTGGAGCAGCACTGTGCAATTGGTCTTTAGTGCTTTAGTACTACCCAGTGCTAAAGTTTCCAACAGGCCTATAATACATTTGAAAGAACAGATATAAAAACTTGAGGATGAAACACAGCAGAAATATTCAACATTTTTTCTCAACTTTAAAAATATTTTTATCTTCCAACATTACAAAATACCCTTCACTTCTACCGAACTGTTATTACCATATGTATCACCTTTATTGAGGTGAAACTTACAGAGCATACAAATTAAACATTCTACAGTAAACAGTTGGGGGCCGGAACATGCTTTCGCTTTGTTCTGCAGTGACGACCCACTTCCTTCTAGTTTGGAAATGTTTCTATCGCTCCAGCATAGGGGAGTGACCCCTCCCCAGTCTCTGGGGCCCCCTTTCTCCTGCCACCACTGATCTGTGTGACTGTGCAAATGCCAGGCTTGATATTTCACACACGAGGAACCATGGCAGATGCTACTGTCTGTGTCCGTTTTTCACTCAGCTTGTTTTTGAAGCTTATACAATTGTGGTATGTATCAAAACTTCATTTCCTCTCATGGCTAAATAATATTCCATTCTGTGGACATACCACCACTTGTTTATGCATTCACATATTAAGGGGTAGTTGCACTGTTTTGTCTGTTGCAAATGATGCTGCCGTAAGTCTTTCTGCACATGTTTCAATGTGAATGGATGGATGTTTTCATTTCTCCTGGATAAACACTTAGGCCTGTGATTTCTGGGCCCTGAGGTAATTCTGTGTTTGACCTTTTGATGAGTCAGGAAACTATTGTCATGGGTGCTATACCACTTTGCCTACCAGACACTTACCAGGGTTAATATTTCTTTACACCTTCACCAATATTTGTCATTTTCCCATTTCTGGACTGGAGCGATAGCACAGCGGGTAGGGCGTTCGCCTTACACGCAGCCAACATGGTCGACCCGAGTTCGATTCCTCCGCCCCTCTTGGAGAGCCCGGCAAGCTACCGAGAGTATTCGATATGCCAGACACAGTAACAACAAAGTCTCCAATGGAGACGTTACTGGGCCCGCTCGAGCAAATCGACGATCAACGGGAGGGCCTTTACCTTTTACCTTCCCATTTCTAAAGTTATTCTGTTGAGTGTTAAGTGGTATCTCACTGTGGTTTGATTTATGTTGTCTCGATGGTAGACAGTGTTGAGTATCTCCTGTAAGGGATTTGGCTTAGCTCTAACATTGAGTTCATGGGTCCATTTTGAGTTCATTTCTGTTTAGGGAGTGAGACAGGAGCATGTACACATTTCTTTAATTACCACAGTGTGATAAAATATGCTTTGTGGATTTTGAAAATTGTGGTTTGAAGCTGTTGTTCCTTGAATCAATGGCCAGTTGTTTTTCAATGCAGAACATCTTGATACTTTATATTGATCTATAATCACTTTCATTTTGATCATATCTGAAATATATACCTCAAAATTATGCATTGATCTGAATGGGAGAAGTTAATTGCATTGTTGGCTTTGTAACTTGTGATATTCATTTTTAATGAAATGTGACAGTAATGCAATGGTTTTTAAATTAAGGTTTGCAAACTTTATGTATCAATACACAGTTAAGGAAAATAGAATATTATTATGCTTTTGTATTTTTAGCAAAAGGGTTCAGAATTGGGAAAACATTTATTGGCAGGCAGGCTATTGTTTTAATATTTCTAATATATCATTTTATATTGGTAAGTTCCTTCACAAGCCTATTATTCTATCAAATGTTCTGTTAATGTGCCAGGTGCCAGGCACTCGTAAAACTTTCTTTCTTTCTTGTTTACTTCTAATTTTTTAAACTTTTATTATAAAAATTTTCAAATAGATGAAGAAAAACTAGAGTTCACTGAATCCCCTTGCACAGTAGCCAGGCTTTCTAGCGTACTAAGATTCTCTAGGCTCTCATTTTTGCTCAATGACCTGGAAGCTTCTGTTTTTCTAAGGAGTTCTGATTCCTTTCATCATTAATGGTGTTTAGGAGACATATCTTGGACTTGCTGTGCTCATTATCACTGGGTGGGTCACTGATTTTTGGTCTAGTTGAAAGGCTTAGGAAATATGCGGGTTTTAGAGGAAAAGTATAACCTGCAATATGAGTTACATTGATGTTTTCAATTAACATTCAGGGTTATAAAATTTTTACTTCATGTCATTATTCGTACAGTAGTTGCTTCCTCCTATTTTAGCAAAGATCCTCTTACTGAGTGACATCAATATATAGTTACTCATTTGTCCCATTTCATAGTTCAGACCCAGTTTTAGACGACCATCCTAACGCTGTCCCCAGAGCATGATTTTTGAGCGGTGTAAGTTTTGGCACTGGGTTTCGTCACATTGTCTCTGTTGTTCTGTTGCTGATTCCCTGTGTCTTTCATATTTTAGTTGCTTCTCTAGTTGCTTTTTCATAATTATGTAAAATGGTACCAGAATTGTAAAGTCACAGCTGTAAGACAAATGACATTCAAAGAAATATAGGTTTAATCCCTATTATCTGCAATAGCCCTTCTGTTCTCCTCTAGATGAACCTTTCTCGAAAAACCCCTTATTTAAAGACATGCAAACATACTGTCAATGAAATAAGGTAAAGGTAAAAGGTAAAGGCCCTCCCGTTGATCGTCGATTTGCTCGAGCGGGCCCAGTAACGTCTCCATTGGAGACTTTGTTGTTACTGTGTCTGGCATATCCAATACTCTCGGTAGCTTGCCGGGCTCTCCGAGAGGGGCGGAGGAATCGAACTCAGGTCGGCCATGTTGGCCGCTTGTAAGGCGAATGCCCTACCGTTGTGCTATCACTCCAGCCCATCAATGAAATAAATGACAAGAAATTTGTATCCTTCCCTTCTTGGGCAAAAAAAGTAGAATCCTGTGTGCACTTCCCACCACCTTGATGTTTGCACCCTTTTAGGTTCCATTTTGGAAAGTACTGTCTAGTGACACACGGATGGTTCCTCCACTTAACACCAGTGACCCAATGACTTCCACCATGGTCTGTGCCTCAGTGTCCCCTTACGGGCACTTTAGTTTGCCTTTTAATTATGCCCACTATGTCAACTATAGCATTGTAGTACTGTCCTCCCGTTGTTCGTCGATTTGCTCAAACGGGCACCAGTAACATCTCAGATTGTGAGACTTGTTATTGCTAGAGCGATAGCACAGCGGGTAAGGCGTTTGCCTTGCACTCGGCCGACATGGCCGACCCGGGTTCGATTCCTTCGCCCCTCTCAGAGAGCCCGGCAAGCTACCAAGAGTATCTCGCCCGCACAGCAAAGCCTGGCAAGCTCCCCGTGACGTATTTGATATGCCAAAAACAGTAACAACAAGTCTCACAGCGTCTACTATAATCTTGTTATAATGACTAGACTTAAGCAGGTGTATTTTCAGTTTCCTCAGAGTATCACTGCGAGAGCTTCCTAGGAGGGGGGTTGCATATTGCCTTACTGTGTCTGTCCTCATGCCCTGCAACCCTCTGCATTGCCCACCAGCAATGAGTAAGAATAGGGGCGTCCATGAACTCCCCGGCAGAATCACTGAAAGACTATGGGATTTGTTAGAGAGAGAGAGAGAGAGAGAGAGAGAGAGAGAGAGAGAGTGTGTGTGTGTGAGTGTGTGTGTCTGTAGTTGCTTCATTACAGGCTATTTGAGCGTAAAGCTCTCTAACACCACCCTTTTATTTGTCATTCCAATGCCAGTTGGTGTGGAGAGCCTACCTTCCCTGACGTCCCATCCCTTTCCTGTTATTAAGAAGCCAGACAGAGCCACGTGTCTGTGTTCTTAGTCATTAGGAGAGAGTGTGGCGAGCCCCGCAGGTGAGCAGGATGGGAGCATTCACCTGAGCGGCACCAGCTCCCCGGCCTCCCATCCCGGCACCTGTCTGTCTGTCCAACATTCCCTCCATCTGTTCTCTCCGACAGTGATGGCGCACCACAAACCCAGTTCAGTCCATCACGCTCAGTGTCGATGCCATCCTCTGCGACTTCAGCCTTCTTTGCATTTCTTGTTCTTATGAAAACTTTCAGTGTTTGTTCATATCGTGTGTAAAGAGACTTTCCAGGGCTATTATAGAGATTGGTTTCTTTGCCCAAAGTCATAGTGGATTGTCCGGGAACTCTTTCTTAGCATTGTCATTGTTCCATCACTGCTGGGGCACCTGGTAGTGTCCACTGCCTTCATTCTTCCCCGGCTTGAACCTCTGGCTCAAGTCGGAGCTTCCTGGAGAGGGGAACAGGACCCCACACCTGGGGGTGGTGGTTTGCACTCTGGCTGGGCCCCGTGTGATGAGCTGCTCACTTAAGTGAGGCACCTCTTGGCAGGGCTCTTTCTGAGTCATTCCTGTGCTTGCCATGCTTGCTTAAGTGGGAAGGGGAGCACTCACCCATGCCTGGGATCCCCCGTGGGATAGGAGGGAGCGCCACTCCAAAGCTGGCTGACACTGTCCCATGGACCCCACCTTTGCAATTTGTGGCACAGGATTACATGCTATACAGCATCCAAGAAGTGTCATACCAGCCCGTACATAGCGTGGTGAAGCTTAATTTAGTTTTGTTTTGAATATATATATATATATTTTTTTAGTCACACCCAGTGATACTCAGGAATTACTCCTGAAGATGCTCGGAGAACCATATGGGATGCTGGGAATCAGACCTGGGTCAGCTGCGTGCAAGGCAAACGCCCTACC